TGCTACACATTCAAATGCTATCCGCTGTCGGCTCAAAGTACAATCGAGTTGATTGAAAGTCAATACAGAAATTGGGTCGATAGTCCAGCCACAGGTGCACTTACACTGCCCCCTCCCATTTCAACCTAGAACTGATGGAAGTGCAGCCGCATAATGCTCACTACCCGTATACCGGAGTAGTGCCCGTGTGCAATGGAGCAATACTACGGGTACCGGTAATTGACCCCTGTTTCGACTCCCACCCCATGTGGTGGTTACTCATGAATGTGATCAGATGACATTGTGTCAGGTAGTGCTCCTCTTCGCGGACCGTATCCATACCTTGTAGCAGTTCCGACTTGATTGAATGGAAGGGCGTCATGGCGACCTTAGCTGCCCAGCGTGTATTTCGTTGCGTTGTATGGTTTGTTCATGATGGAGTCCTTTCAGCTCAACCAGTTGCGCCAGGTTTTCCAGTCGATGTTTTGAGCCTTGGCGAATCCTCTGGATCCCTCGATGTACCTCTTGCCCTGGGAGTTGGTGTGTCTGGTGTAGGCCATGGTTCGACGTTGATTTGAAAGACGCGGTTTAGCGGGACTTTTAAACCAACCAGTAATTTTCGAGAAACCAGTCAAAAATATTTCTTACGTCCTCAAAATGAAGAGAAATTGCCTTTGCGTTCCTGGTATATGTTTTCAACAGACATGAGTAGTTTTAGAAGACAAAAATATTGAACTTCAGTGAAGAATAGTTTATTGTGACCTCGCTTTAGGTAAGACCCAAAAGGATACCACAACGGACAGCTGAGGTTTCAATGCACATTGACTATACGGCATAACGTACAGTACATCCACGTCATGGAATGTACCCAGTAGCACACGGGCTTCGAACGGGAGCTCTATGGCGTGAGCTATAATTCATATTGTTTGTGGTGTTATTGTAGTATCGAATTTTCCAACGTAGGACGGTTTGCATGACATAATGTATGTTGCGACATATTGTTTCAAGGAAGGTAAAGTGAGCAGGTTCATGCATTGAAATGACAGTGTATCCAAGATAAGTCATGTATGATATCATGTACTAGGTCGTAGAAGTCCTTTTCACCCATTAGCTAAAAATACTGCAATCACTACTTGCAGATTGAATTGTGCGACAATATAAAAGAATCGAAAATATGGTGAAGTATTACTGCGGACATTTTTCCGTCGTTCTCTGTATATCATTAACGCTGGAAGACATACACGAGGTACTTCTCGCTGAGGGACCCAAGAAACTCTACGCTTTCGAATTCGTCAGATGATCAAGGGGAAAAGTCACGCCAAGCACACAACTCAAACCCGATTGCAGCATCGATCGTTCTCGTTCACGTACACCAACTTTGTCGAATTCATTGTCTGGACCATGGAAAATACTGCCGTCAAAGTAGGCACAATGACCGGCTATCGTTTGGGCATGCGATACTACTACAAATGGAGCGTGTGGCCTTACCGTCTGAGTATGAAAGCGCCCTAAAGGTCGTTTTTCAAGGTATGCAACGAACACAATGCGCGACTTAACATCGAACTTTGGGTATATGCATACGGCGAATAACCGTAACTGGTGAGCAAATCATGTCAACAAAGGTCAGAGAAAAAACTGCTCGGTGTCGGAACATATGATGCTATGTGCAGAACGACATTCTCTGTGTTGGACTATGGGTTTCAGCACCTCGTTCTTATACTATCGTGGAACCTGATGGCCAGGTCGAAATCAACTGAAATGCTCCAGCTCACGCACCTCATCTACGAAGAGGATGCAACTGGAATCACGTTTTTCAAATCAAAGACGGACCTAGACGACAGCAAGCACCGTCACCTACGACACATGTACGCTAATCCGCTGAAGCCTCACATTTGTGCCTTCCTTGCGCATGGCATTTACCTTGCGTCTGACTGTTCTCGGCCGAGCCTCAAGTCGACTACACGTGCGTCTGTGTGTGCAGCCGATGACGGTCAGAGAAATGTGGACTGCACACTGCTCAAGGGGCTGGGGTCGGCGGAGCAAATGCAGGTGGCTGGAGTGTGTGGGATTAAGCCTGGTTTGTGTGTCACATACAAACTCCAAGTAAATTCCCCCATGTGCATCAGTGACATGCGTCTGGTCTCGCAGCACTGGTGGCCCATCACTTGTCAGCAAATGCTCCTTAGGGAATGTGTTTGAGCGCAATATGAATGCGCAGATGACCAGTTCGTTAGGCATGTTGTAGCAGAACTTCCATTGAATGACGCCAAGTTTGCTGTTTTGCCATCGCATTTTCATGGACAAATATAATGCCGTGGCAGAGCAAGCAATGGATGCCACGTTCCTTAACGTTGTCAGCGACTCAACTTGCATGATGTTTGGCCATGCTCTTGCGCTCACCGTTTCTCATTTCGAGTACATCGCAGTGGTCATCCCGCCCAAGCACACAACATTCCCTGATATTTCGCTTGCTATTTTTGCGTAATCATTGCGCCTCCAGCCTGCGACATCAAACCCGCGTTTGCTACCATCAGGAGTGCACCCGTGCATAGAACTGTATAAGCTATGGAAAGACGAACAGCGTGAATTGAAAGCATGCCAAGCAGTATTGTTGGCCAAGTTCGTGAATTAAATGACGAGCGGGACGTTTCCAGTGGAAATATCACCAAGGCACATATTGTAGTTCGGATCGGCCGTTGCACGTCGCTCCAGGGGTTGTCGGAGATCTTGGCGGAGATCCGCGACCCCCAGATCCATATGTTGGCGGCCAATAGATGCCACTGGATCTTGCCCAAAGGCGGCCCCTCGTCATCGACAACCCGATTGTACAAAAATCCGCGAAACGACGACGAAAGTACAAGTGTACCTACCTTCAATGTCCAGCACTGTACCGAACACTTATAAAGGATGATTTGCACCTCGCGAGATATCACAATGAGATATTCGTCGGAGATGAGCTCCCGCATAGTTCCAGTGACCCCGGAGCTCAAGTTGCTCTGCTCGCGGCAGATTCCAGTCAGTAAGAGTTTGATGATGAAACAATGTTCGTGTCCTTCCGTTAAGATGTACAATCTCGCTCAACAAACGGGCTAAGAGGCAGGACGATGAGCCCCTATTGACACATGATACAACTCCATTCCTACTGTCGAGTTAACAGTCCGCGAGAGTATCGAGGGGGCTCTGAAAATTTTTGAAAATTGATAATAATATTACAGGGGCTACATTTCAATGCTGAATTTGGCACTACCTGCAATATTCAATATCAAAAAATGTATTAGTTCATACGAGGAATACAACTAATGGAGGTATTTCTTGCTAATCATCGCCATCCTTGTCACATGCGCTTGAGAACGACATGCCGTCGTCAGAGGATGTGTCGCACTCATTTTCATGGCGACATTGATCTGAACCCTCTGATTCAGCATCCCGAAGAGCGCGATCAAGTCCGAATAGCTTCTCTGTCGACGAAGGTATGGTGTTGTAGATGACTTCTGTGTCCAACTCATGAAAGGCTTTGTCTAGGCGATCTCATACATCTTGAAATGTTGTTGTTGAGGTATAGACACGTCCCACCGATCCCTTGATGTTTGCCCACACCATCTCGGTAGGCTGCAGCTCAGAAAACCCGGGGGCAGAGTAGACAACATGATGCCCCCGCGCCTTGGCGATTTCGACAACAACAGGAAGGACGTGTTCGCCCAAGTGCTTCTTCAGCGCCTTCCATGTCGTTGTCTTCAGGTCCGTAATCGAAACTTCAAAGATGCCGTGGATAACACAAGCGTCGTAGAAGTCTGTCTTCTTCCACGTACCTTTCCGCTTCGTCTTGGGCTTGCCTTTGTGGTACTTGGCGTTGTCCATCACAAACACTGCGCATGCCCACCCAAGTTCTTCAACTTCATCCATGAGCTTGCCAAACCAGTCAACGAAATAGTCATGGTTAAACATAGCATGGTAGTCCTTCACAGTCCTGCCATTCTTCTTCCCACCGACGAAAATTCCCAGGCTCAGGAGATGTGCGGCGTCCGATCCGTCGTCAAGAATGCCCGCGATGAAACAGTACCGACGTCCCTTGTGCTTGGGATTTGTCGTCTTGTCTTCGGGATGGAAGAGACTGTCGGCATGACGTGCGTAGTGGTGATGAATGAAACGAGGATACATGGACGCGGTACGTACCATCATGCTGACGTATTGGTCTCATGCGTCTTGGTGTTCCTTGCTCATGCTGTACTCAGTCTCACCAACACGCTTCCCTCGAGCGTAACCCTGCTTTGCAAGAAAAGCCTGCACACCTCGAAGGCACGACGAATAGCTCTAGTGGCAGTTGGGATCAATGGCCAGAACATGATGCTCAAGCAAGAGAGCCAAGACGTCTTTTGCCACAGTTCGGGTACGTGCAACGCTGCGGTCATGGATGAAGATTTCGACAAGTATTCGAACCGCGCGACGATTGGCACGATGGCGTGGTGGTTCCATGTGTTCGATGGGGGATCTGCGATGGACAACTCGCCAACTTGGGTAAACTCTGCAAGAACGTTTTGAACAGTCCTTTTCGCCCGACCAAGGAGATGTGCCATAATCCCAGTGACATCAGTAGGTCCCTCGTCGTGCCACTCACCGTCTGAAGGGTTACACTATCATCACCGCGCTCGTCTTATTGCCCCGACGTGTGTCCACGGGTCTCCACAATGCTGCCACCAGAATCTAGTTGCGCGAGACATCCTGTCCGACAGCCATATCTTGTACGACCAAGATATGACGTGGAAAATTGA